TTTGGTCCATTGGAATATGTATATGGTCCTTAAGGAGTGGTTCTTCAGGATATATATGTAATATGTGGTCCTTCGAGACATCTATGTGGTCCTCCAGGACAAATTCATATGTCACTAAGTGGGAATTATACGAGTTGTGGTGACAGCATATGTGCACAACCGCTATGTACTTGCATATCTCTGGTTCTCAAAAGTATACATGGGCTAATAAAGAGATAATAACAAATATCATATATGTGATGTATATGTTTTTGTGATATGAAATGGGTTACATAAATTATATGATGATGTGTATATGGTTTGGTGAAGAATATTGGGTACAAGAGAATATGACTAAGAGATAATAATTAAAATAATGCTAATAATTATAAGAATAATAATAAGGACAATGAAATGATATGTATGTGTATGTATTTATGTTTTGATGCATAATGTGTTTTATAGTTTAATATGGTTACATGAAGTATGCATAGTAGGAATTAGTAATGAGATGTTATATTTAAGTTTATTTATGCCTCACTAAGTCTAGCGTGTGAGTGTTTCACACGTAGGTTCCAGAAAGTAAGAAGGAAGCTAAGAAGACCAAGACAGGTTAGCTTCTCCTTTACGAAGATCAGATTATAAATGTATTTGGATAGTATGTATTTTGTTATAAGAAATATAGTTGGAAAGTAAATAAAGATTTGAGTTGTATACACTTTGATAAGTTTTGTAAATCTTTTGATTGAAATTATATAAAGTATTGTTCGCGTACTGTGAGTACTAAATATGGACGCGAAATATGTGCAAGTATACACAATCGAACAAGAAATATAGTGATGAGTGAGTTTTGTGTCCATAGGGATTTGAGAGATCTTGAGTAAAGTTTATGCACTATTCTAAAGTAACTAAGTATAACTAATGGTATTCACAAATGAGAATGTTGTGACAAAATGAAATGTATGTTGTGGAAATGGAATGATGGTAATATGGTAGAGAACATTTTCTCTGAATTTTACGCTCTTGGTGGCTTGTGTAAAGTACCTTTTCCATTGTGGCTTCATCCTCTATTTATAGGGGGAGAAAAACCCTAGGAATTTGTGTTAAAATTTCTAGAATACCCCAAATCATGCTTAATTCACGTGAGGATCAGGTAGAGCTGGCAGTGGTCCCCTTGGGCAGCTGGCATTGATCCAGCCTGTGTTGCTGGCTGAGTACTCGACATGATCCCGCTGCAGAAGGTAAAGGACAGACAGGAACAACAGTAGGGCAGTGTGGTACAACAAGATCGGCTGTAGCAGCGCTGACCCCCTCCAGGTGAATTTCTCGCTCATGGTCGGAGATCACGTGAAAATAAGGACAACTGGCTCCAAAGATATCTTCTTTCATTTTATTCGCTCTCGAAATGCCAATCAAGTTGGCATTTTCATTCTGCTCAGCAATCTCCTTATGTCACGGCATTTCCCTTTTTCTTTTCCTTGCTATCAAATACTGCACATCACCAAACAAACACCTTCCCCATAAAGCAATACTAATTACAAAATAAAATGACGCGACAAATAGAATTCCACCACATGCAACTATATGCTCTTAAATGCATCTATATAGTCCTAAATGGGCTCTTAAACATTCAATAACTTAAGTGAAAAGGTCCTAAATATGACCTTTTACGGAGTTATCACACCCCCAAACTTAAGCTATTGTTTGTCCTCAAGCAATGGATAGTATTAAGCAAAACAAAAATACCATGGCAAGTTCAGAAGAAGAATAGTTATATGGGATAAAATTTCAGCCCTCAACATTTGGCTTCAACATGCTAGACTAGTTTGAGAAATCAATCCCCTAGGGCAAGATTCTTTGTGTGAGTGTGTGCATGTTTTTATCCAGTCCATGCTTAACAAACCTAAAAATTTTCTAAGCAAGCTTTCTTGTTTTGCCATGACATTTACAAATTTTACTCCCACATTGTTTTCTTTTCTTTCATTAATTCTGCTACGAGGGGAGTCAGCCCATCACACCTACCATACCACACTCTAGGTGAAAGGGAGCATACCTTCCACCCCTGAGCTAGTCAGGTAGAGTAATCCCGTGATTACTTTCATTCACTCATATGCCATAGCTGTCATTTATTTATATACAGTTTCCAGGAAATGCCATGGCATAGCGGAGTGTCCCTCTATAGATATGCCGAGGAATTTATTCACAACTTCATTGTTTTTAACAAGTGGGTTTTCATCATTCAAAGTTTTATGCCACGACATTCAAGAATTCTCTTATAAAAAATTTCTAAGTTCCTCAAGCATGGAAAACATACAATCGTGTATTCAAAGATTTCAAAGAAGTAAGTCCTACGGTTGGTTCTATCATCCTCAACCAATCATGTACATTCAATCCTAGCCATCAAGAATTTTTCATCATCGAGCATCCTTAATTTAATCCAGAAAACTAATTCTACATTTACTAATGTCATGGCATATTCATTATACTAATACTATAATGCAATGATTTGGGAATCCTACCTCCCCCAAACTTGAGAGAAGCATTGTCCTTAACACTTACTAAAAACTAAGGTGAAAGTAAACTACATGCTATGAAATGCAATGCAATGCAAGGTACCTCGACTTCATGCTTGTGGTAGTGCGGCGATCGTGTGACGGGTGCGCTTACGCAGTTGTGTGGGGCTAGAATGTTCAAAGCCTGTTGATGGCACATCAGGGGTAGTATTGGGGCCTTCTGGGACTGTGGAAAGTTGAGGCTCCTTACGCCTAGACACTTTTTAAAACGGCATCGACTCATGTGCAAAGGAAATTGCTGCGACATTTCCAATTGTGCTACATCATGTGACTCCGTGAACTACAGTGGTACTGTTAAAGTTGGTAGTTAGGGCTCAGTCTCTTTTCTCTCAGTTGTAGGCATAGTGTGAATTTAGTCAACATCTTTCAGCTTCTCCTCATTAGTTGGTTGGGGAGCATCTGCTAATACTGTGGCATCCGTAGAAGCACACAACAGTGTATCATATAAGATTGAAAGATCAAGAGCTACATGCAGAAGGAGCTCCATGAAGGCTATTGCCACAACCTCGTCCCTTTTCTTGATATAGGAAATGAAGGTCGTCAGGTAGTTGGTCAGATTCGCAGCTTGGTTCTGGGTCTGCTTGGCCAGAAGTGTTGCAATTTACCATGGCATTTGTACAGATGGGTGGACATCATCAATAATGTCATCATTTGTGTCAATACCAATTGAGTATTCTTTCTAAGTGGGTGTAGCTTCTGTAGGGGTTTTCCCTTGTCCACATGTTTGGGTGCCTGTTCTTTCTGAAACATCTTAAATTGTTATGGCATTTTTGTCGCGTTCTATCGGAGCACCAATGTAGAACAAAATGCCCACACATATAACAACTCCACCTTCAAAATATTTTTCCCTGGCATTTCGCGTCTTTCACATCTAAATTGTAGGACCTTTGCAGTAGTCCTCTCTTCTTTAAAGTGCTCTCCGCATGAGCTGAATAGTAGTGGAATGAGATCTTTTTCGCTCCTTTTTGCTTTGGTAACTTGAAAACATTTGGGCAGCAAATTCATTGAAGAGGTCGAGGTCATCCCTATGCCTGTAGCCACCATCGTGTATGAGCATGTTCTTTCCTAGGCTAGTTAAGTAAGGAAGAAAAATAACACTAACAAGAAAATTGACAATATTAACATACCATAAAATTGCCACGACAAATAATAATTTCTCATTAGTGAATTTTTCCTTATTCTCCATTTCATTCCTTAATTCTTTTATAATTTCTAGCCTAGACATATGGGCAGTTACTTGAGGATTAGGATGAGTAATTTCAATAGAATCCAAAGGTTTAAATTTCATACTTGGTCTAGCTATGGATGAGCTAGACTAACTCATCTCCTTTGGAATATCCTCGAGCTGCTCTTCGTCTTCTTCAACAAGCTTCAAGTGATTATCAGTGCATAAAAATTTATTGTGGAAAAATCCTGCAGCTTTCCTTTGGTCATCAAATCCTACTAATGAGGGTTTTTCTTTTACCATGGTAAAATTTTATTGTCTTCATTGGCTGCACTCTTCGAACCCTCATCATTGTTTTCCATCGAATGTGAATCTTCTTGCACCTTCGGATCTTCGTGCACAATCTCATGACTGAGCTCTCCGAGCCTTCTCCCCAAACTTAGCATCTTTGTAGATTTTGATGTCACTCTTTAAGGTGAATATACCATAATGCTCCTTGTCTTGAGCTTTAGTGACTTGAGTATCACTAGGAAGACTGCCATGTGGGTGAGATTGTAATGCCGTGGCAATTTGACCAACATGACCCTCCAAGGCCCTTAAAGACGAGTTGTGACTTTGAAGCAAAGCTTCTTGGCTTTTTATAGAGGTCGCATGGTCATGCAGTATGGTCTTCGTGGTTGTTATAAAATCTTGCATTTGGCCTCCAAAGAAATTGTGTTGGATGAAGATGGTACTCCCTCGTTATAATTATGCCATGACATATTCGTTTGAAAACCCTGGGAGTCACTGAAGTTCTGCTGCCTTGTGGGTTGACTAGCATTACTGGTTCCTTGATTTCCCCAATAGAAGTTTGGACGCTGACACTATCCAAGATTGTTAGAATATTGGTTGTTGTTGCCTCGATTATAGTTCTCTACACAGTTGATGGAATCTAGATTGGTCGGACACTCGTTCTCATTGTTATTGCCATGACATAATAGACATGCTGAGTTGGCTACCTTCACTTCTTTCATCTCACCTGATTGTTGCAAATTCTTCAACATATTAAAAGTTGGATGGACACGGAATCCATAGTATCCAACTTAAATGTCCCAGGCGCTTTTCGCCCGGCTCTAAGCCTTGAAGATGAAAACTGATAATCATTGTTGGCAATCCTATCCAGAATGTTGAATGCCTCTGCAGGTGATTTATCTAGCAATGTCCCATTTGTCAAGGCATCTAGCATCATCCTCGTGGGTGCATTGACTCCATTGTAGGACATCACAGCTTGAGTCCAATCGTGGAATCCATGATTGGGGCACTTGCGAAGAAAACTTTTGTATCGGTCCCAACATTCATACATATACTCTTCATCGTCTTGGTGAAAAGATGATATGGCATTTCTAAGATGGTTGTTCATATTGGATTGATTATGCCATAGCAAAATATTTTTTCACAAGTCAGCCCAATATCTTATCGAGCCGGAAGGTAATACATTGAGCCATGCCCTGGCGTGATCTTTTAAAGAATATGGAAATAACTTCAATTTCAATATATCTTCATGCACACCTTGTTGTCGAAAGGAGTCACAGACCTCCAAAAATGCCTGAACATATTACCTTGTATCATCATGAGGAGCACCACCAAATTATCCAATCAAGTCCAACATGTCGAACATGACCGGTTTGAGCTCGAATTGGGTTACCTGAATCTTGGGAGCTACAATAGCAGGTTTTAGGTCGTCCAAGGTGGGAGCTAAGTGATCTCTAATAGTTTGTGGTTGAGCAATATTCCCAGCATTTGGAATTGTCGTGTCATTTAGAACTGCATGATCTTTCACTTGATTTTGAACACGAGCTTCAGGTTCAATATAAAATGATGGTTCTTTGGGTCTTTTACGGATCATGCGACAACGTAACACCTGAAAAAGGTAAACACAAAAACAAGTAACTATGTACAAAGAAAAAAATGAAACAGTTCAATAACTAAACTCAACATCATTAATTGCCAATCCCCCACAACGGCGCCAAAAAATTGTCCGCTATTTGTGAGTACTAAATATGGACACAAAATATGTGCAAGTATATACAATCAAACAAGTAATACAGTGATGAGTGAGTGTCGTATCCACAAAGGTTGGAGAGATCTTGAGTAAAGTTTATACACTATTCTAAAGTAACTAAGTATAGCTAATGGTATTCACAAATGAGAATGCTGTGACAAAATGAAATGTATGTTGTGGAAATGGAATGATGGTAATATGGTAGCAGATCGAGATGTTGTGGAAAAATGGATAGAAATGTCGTGTCAAATTATATTGTGTTTAGTGCAATCAAATGGAAATGCAAAGGCAAAATAAAATGTAAATATAGAATTTAATTACTAGGACTTTAACTTCCTCACACGACAAGCTACTATGAGAATGAATGATAGGAGTCACTTAGGAAAATCTAAGTCTACTTCTCAGAATGGTCTTAATTCTACGCCTTATCTACCTGACAGAATTTACTAGGGTGCCCTATGTTATCTCTAGTAAGGGACTCGATAGATTGAATATGCCTTGGAAAAATCGGTTGGCGTAAACCTCTGTAGTGATCCTATTGGTCCAGATAAAAGAAAATATGTCTCGGCAATACCTTTTTGCGGCAACATTAACATCTAACCTATTGTTCATGCACAACTCCTTTTAGTCAAATGAAATCCTAGCCTTATCTCTAAGGTGGATTAGGCCTAGTTACTATCTAGAACCCCTTGCTTATGTGGTTCATCCCTAGTTTCTCTCGAACAATAAGGATGTGCTACCTAGAAATTCTCTCGAACATTAAGAAATCTCCTAAAGAATGGATACTCTCATAGCTCCTTCAACCTTAAGGCACTAAGATCCATAAACAAAACATAGAAAAACAACCATTCATTAAAGCAAATCTTAAATATCCAAAATGAACTCCCACCAAATAGGATTAGTTTATAGTGGGGTTCGAAATAAGCAAGTTAATCCGTTCCTTACAACCCAAAAGATAAAATATGAAAGCAAAGAGCAAAGTGAAGGAGGTAAAGCCTTTGAAGTGCACTGCCGGAGCTTCTCTCGGCCACCATGGACTATCCCAACGAACTAGCTCCTCTCGGACGCCTAGAACACCACTCCCTCTAGCTTGTCAACGGAATGCCACGGTAAATCAGATTGGTGGAGAACTTTTTCTCTGAATTTTACGCTCCTGGTGGCTTGTGTAAAGTCTCTTTTCCATTGTGGCTTCATCCTCCATTTATAGGGGGAGAAAAACCCTAGGAATTTGTGTTAAAATTCCTAGAATACCCCAAATCATGCTTAATTCACGTAAGGATTGGGGAGAGCTGGCAGTGGTCCCCTTGGGCAGTTGGCATTTATCCAGCCTGGGTGGCTGGCTGAGTACACAACATGATCCTGCTGCATAAGATAAAGGACATAAAGGATCAACAGTAGGGCAGTGTCATCCAGTAAGATCGGTTGTAGCAGTGCTGACCTCCTCCAGGAGGATTTATTGCTCGTGGTCGGAGATCACGTGAAAATAAGGGCAACTGGCTCTAAAAATATATTCTTTCATTTTTTTCGCTCTCGAAATGCCAACCAAGTTGGAGTTTTCATTCTGCTTAGCTATCTCCTTATGTCACAGCATTTCTCTTTTTCTTTTCATTGCTCTCAAATCCTACACATCACCAAACAAACACCTTCCCCATAAAGCAACAATTATTACAAAATAAAATGCTGCGACAAATGAATTTCTACCACATGAAACTATATGCTCCTAAATACATCTATATAGTCCTAAATGGGCTCTTAGACATTCAATAACTTAAGTGAAAAGGTCTTAAATATGACCTTTTTATGGAGTTATCAAGTATACACTTTGATCTGATAAAAGATAGAATTTTCATTATTTTGTAAAAGTAAATATTTTGAAAAGTTAATGTGACACCTTGGACTTGGATTCAGGTCCGATACGGGTTGTGGGTGTCACATTTAATGGTATCAGAGCTAAGGTTTGCTGATTCTAGGCTTAAACCAAAGACAAATGAGTTTTAAAATGTGTACACGCCAACACGAAGTAAAAACTTTCTGATATGATAAAGTAAGGAGTGAGTTGTCTTGTGAATAGAGTAGGATTAGTATGTTATATTAAAAGTATAGTAATGAAAGTTTCGAAGTAAGAGAAATGTGATAGACCTGATGGTGGTATCAATTCATCTGCTCTGGCCAGGCAAGATGAAGAGCTGACACCTCAAGGAGTGCCTTTGTAAAAGTTAAGGATTATTTTCAGAAGATTGAAAATGCATTCGAATAGTGTTAGAGCATTTCCATCGTACTGAAGTGGAATAGTTCTTTTTCTACGTTGGCAAGATAGAGTAGAGTGGATAAATGTTATCATAAGAATATTAAAAGATTGATTGTTCTTGCAAGGTAATTAGAGATTGATGAGGAAATTGATTGATTTATAATTTTGAGTGATAAGATTTGATGTTAATGTCTACATGATATGTGATATGATATGGATGTATAAAGGAAAAAGGTAGTTAAAGAATTGAAGTAATGAAAGCCAAGTTTGTTAATGATAACATGAAAGATTAATTGAGAAGGCAACATGAGAATATGAATAGGATATGTGTAGACAATATCTTCATTTATGCATTGAAAATTCGAGGACATATTTTCATAAAGGAGGGGAGATTTGTAAAATCCCAAAACAGGGCTAGTGACTGAAATGCAAATTTTGGAAACTTTGTGCACAATTTCAAAATAAGTTAAAAGTTCAACGATTTATTGGAGAATCTTAATGTTGGATTGTTTAGAAAAGTTGAAAATATGAGAGGGTATAATGGTCCTTTCAGAGGAAAGATTTTTATTCTCCTTTTATAAATGATATAAACATGTGGATTTAAGAGGAAAAGAAAGAACTCTCTAGAGACTTGGTTATCTTCTTCCACCTGTGGCTTCAGTGGTAAGGTAAGTTGTATTCAACTTGATTGTTTCTTTAATTTTAAAGTTTCTTTTTATTCTTAGAGTGATAAGAAAGCTTAAGGGAAGCTTTAAGTGGCTTAAAACTCAAAGATGAATAAGTTATGAGAGATTAAGTAAAAGGAGTTTTTAAGTGAATTATTGAAAAATAATGAGTATAAAGATTTTGAAGTTGAATTTGACTTGTCATAAGGTGAAATAAGAAATTCAAAGTGTTAGAAATGAATTTGGAACATATTGATTTATTGGCTTGATTATTGAATTCAAGTATGTATGAGAGATATTGGATATTAAGATTAGTTAAAGTAATCTAAGTTGATTATAATAAGTGTAGTTAAGCTTAAAGGACTAAAAGGAGGTTATAATAGAAGATTTAGGTAAGTTTGGTAAATTTTCGGGAAAGATATATGAATTCTGAGCAAGGGGTATCGATACTGTTCATCTAGTACCGATACTTCAAAGAGAAATAAGTGATAATTGGGGCATGGGTATCGATACTGGTTGAATGAGTATCGATACCATAAGGCATAATTTATATAATTGTTCTAAGAGTATCGATACCAAAGGAGTAGTATCGATATTGGGGGTATCGATACCATTAAACAAGTATCGATTCCATTTTGAAATAAAGATCTGTTGAAAACATTTTGATATAACAAATTAAGTTAAATGAATTTTAAGATTTTCCAAAAATATTTTCTAAGTATATTCGATATAATTATTCGAATATCAAAACATTACTCTAAATCTTTCAAAAGTCATTTTTAAACCGTACTCAAGTGTAAAATTAAGTTTTAATCTTAAAATAATTTCAAAATAATTTTACAAAGTATTTCGAACCGTTTCAAAGCCAAAAATTCCAGATTGCTCAGAAGAAACCAATTCCCCCTGAATGGTTTGGCTCCATGAATTCTAGTATGCTCGAAGGGAACTGATTCCCCCCCAGGGGGTACCAATTCCCCCACTGTTCAACAGTCGAAATATTTGAATTTTACACTTAAGGAACCGATTCCCTATGAGGGGTATTGATTCCCCCCACGCTCCAAACTGTTTTATTAATTGATTTCACACTAAAACAGCTATATTATCTTCATTAATGATCCCCAACATTTAGAAGTGGTTCAAGGTGTATTTAAGCAAGCTTAGAAGCCATTGATCAACAACAAGAAACATCAAGCAACTAGAATCAAGAGAGAATCAAAGAGAAAGTATCAAACCTCAAGTTTGAGCATTTCAAGCCTATTTTTCATTCAATATTCATTTTGCTTTCAGGAACACTTATTGTGCTCAATTGTATTCATTTTTTAGTGTTCTTTTCTCTGTTCTAGAATTGTGCAAACAATCTACCTTGTGAGGATTTCCTTGTAAGTTTGCAAATTTGTATTGTTCTCTTTGGGAGAGAGTGTTCTCAAGAATTTAGT